CTGCAGCTCCACGCGGAAGGGGCTGTTGGGCTCGGTCAGGCGCATGGTCTGCAGACCATTAGCCCCCACGTCTTCATCCACCGGCACCTCCAGGGGGATGCGCGTGCCCACCGCCGCGCCCTCGGACACCTCCACTGGGATCTGGGCCCGAGGGAAGCGCGGCGCGTGGTCGTTGACATCCCTCACCTCCACCTCCACGTGCACCAGCCGGAACTGCTCCTGCGAGAAGCTGACCACGTCGAAGGCCAGCACGCACTGCGGGGCTTGGCCGCACAGCCGTTCACGGTCAAGGCCTGCGTCCCCGACGGTCAGCTGCCCATCGCCCTCGCGCACCCGGAGCAGAGAGCTGTTGAACTGCTTCATCAGGCGGAAGCTTGTGTCTCCAGACACTTTCATATGCAGGTCCTCAGCCAGGGTCCCGATTACCGTGCCGGGCGCATCCTCCTCGAAGGTGCTGTATCGAACAGTCTTGCTCTGGGCCACTGAAAGCACCCAGCAGAGGCTGAAGAGCTGCAAGGGGAAAAGGCAAGGGATGCCCCCGCGCCTCACAGGACTCATGCCGCCAGCCCCAAATGCTATTTCGAAAGGCCAAAGAGGAGGGTCTTGGCTGTTTTGCAGGTCGGGGCGTGAGTCCCAGATTCCCAGGAGCACGTCCTTTGCAAGCCCTGCGCGGGAGAAGTCTGCGGGCTGCAGCTCCGGCTCCGGCAGGCTCTGAGGACGCGCGGACCCGCCCTCACTCTGCGCTTCTCCCTCCTTTCTCTGAGCGAGAGCTGCGCCGCTGCGAGCCGCCTCCGCCTTTATATGCGCCTCTATGCAAATCACCCGAGCCTGGCAGCCAATGGTCGCCTTGCTCTATAACACCGCTCCTCCGCCAGCCTCTGACAATCCTTTTAATGTGGAAAGGCTTAGAGGAGAAAACAAGGAAGAAAAACGAGGGAATATTTTCTTTGTTTTAAAAACTCCTTCTGTTCCTTCCCCCTTTCCGTCAGTACTCTGCTTGTAGAACACTGGCACAAGGCTCCGGAGGTAGAAGCAGCCGATGGTTTTTGTTAATTGCACCCCCACTCCCGCGCCCTCTGCTAAAACAAAGTGCAAACTAGCTTCCTAGGGGCTCCGGATCCTCCCGCCTGCCCACCCTTCCCCTCTTCATTTTGCACCTCTGAGGATTCTGAGCTTGCTCTGTGGAGTGAGGCTCTGCTTCCTTTTCTCTCTCAGCTTCCCACGACGCCAGGAACAGCCTGTCGATGAAAAAGCCTGAAGGATGAGGAAAAATGGATTTTATTCAAATTTGTGTACGCAACTGTGTTTTGCTCGTGTGAGCCCCGGTAATCACAGCTGCCTTTTCCCTTTCAGAAAAGAGCCCTACGATATGTTAGTATGCGTGTCACTGCCCAAATGGCTTTCTTAAGTCCTGGCGCTAGCAGGAAAGGAAAAAAAAAGTTCCAAATAGGATTTAGCATAAGCTTGAGGAGATCTGGAAAGGTTTCAAAGCTCAGTCTGTATCAAAGGCTTATGAAGCCCTCGTTAGCAGTGGAGATAGAATGGCGTGGCGGGCGATCCCATTGGAGGCCCCGATGTCTGTATTATTTCACTGTGACAAGCTAAGGGGAGAGAAAGTTGAACAGTTTCCACAGCGGAGTTAGGCTAACTTGAATATAATGAGCAAACGCCACATGTATCCATTATGTTTCTCTATTCATCCCCAATCACTGCCATAACTCTCCGGCTAAACGGTGTTGGGCGCTGAATTCTACACAATACCCGGTTGTATTAAAGTGCATTTAGAGAACTTTCCCTCCTGATGCCTTGTTCTGCCTATTTAGAAGATTTTCTTTCTGTTCTAATAGGGCCTCTCTGGGAAGCAACGCTCGTCCTGTTTCAGAAGAACAAAATCACAGCATGACGTTGAAACCTGGCACTAACCTGGGAGAACTTAACCATCTGCCTGTAAAAGTGTGGAGCTTAGGCTTTGCCAAATTCCGGGCCAGGAGGGTCGTTAGGCTCACCGGGCGCTGAGCCGCTCCCACAAATATCCCCCTCCCATCGGTGAAAGCCAGGGAAGGCAGACGTCAACCGGAAAAGGACAGATTCTTATTGATTCGTACTGAAAGGCTTTACTGAGGAGTCCATGTAAATACGCAAGAAGGCAGAGATGTAAAAACAAGAAATAATAATAATAAAAAGGCAATAGGTATAATAAGCAGATTGCACCCAGCAAACGTAGTTCTGAATGCCGATTTGGTCCTGCTGTCAACGTCCTTCCCGTGTTTTCCTAATTTCAAATGGAAGGGAATGTGTTTTGGGTTCTTTTCAGAAGAGGAGCAGGCGGAGTGAGGCCACTCAGAAAGGTAAGTGGGCAGAGGATGAAGGAGGTACTCAGAGTTTCCAGACAGCGGAAAACACGGAACCAGGCACCAGCAAATAACAGTGCTTATGAGACTGGGGGGTGGGGGGGATGACAGTGGTAGATCGGGGCTTCCTCAAATCCTGTACGTTCCCTTGGCTATCTACTCCCAGTGTTTAATCCCGGAGCTGTTACAAGCAACAGGCCAGACGTTTGCAGCCACACAGAGACATGCGAACGCCGACGCCTCTGCAGGCCCCCAGTTCCCAGTCTTCTCTTGCATTTCCCCTCTCCCGAAGGACTATTTACTATTTGGCTCTCGCCCAAGACACTCCTGGGGTGGGAGTTATGAGGCCAAAAGAATTTTCTGTTTTCTCTCCGAACCCTGCATTGTCAGCACCCCTTCCCGGGCCTGCTGTAGGCCTTTGGCACTTTCGGGCTCATACCCGCCCTCCGAACTCTCCCTGTAGGCTCAGATGGGAACAGATTCAGAACTCGGCTGCTGGACAGCGGCTGCAGCACTTCGGCGCTGGGGACTCGCGGATGTCAGGCCCACACCGCAAAGCTGCTACGGGGCAGAAACCCCGCGGAGGGGCGGGGCGGGGCGGGG